TTTTTTTTTTGTTTCTTTGTTTCCCAAACTTTTTTTAGTTAAATCCAATTGGCTCCCAAAGGCGGAGAAAACTCGTAAAATGCACTGATTTACAAACACTAAAATACTAATTAAAAAAAGCTTTTCTTTTAGCCTTTTATCATGGTCTTTCAGCTTCAATATTTCGGTTCCTTAACCACGCAATGTGGGAGACCAATTATCTTCAAATAATAACATCAAAGACATGAATGTGATGGTGGCACCAACACAATAATAACCCCGTGAAATTTGACTTTGAAAGAACACTGTAAATATACTTAACAATTCGAGAAAATAGAAAATATTGTATTGCAAAAGATTTTCTCGGGGTTGTTGGATTACAGTTAAGGAGCACCAAAAGTGTTTAAATACATTTTGACCTCTTTTACAAACACTAGCTATATTTTGAAGTTCAAAATAATCACGATTATTTATCATYTTTAAATCAACTAAAAAACCGAGCCGCAATAAATAAGTTGTAGCCGGCGTGTCTAGGCAGTCACTCTATTGAGTCAATCACACATAGTCAAACTGAACATTCGAATCGATGACTCAATGAAAACCTATTTATTCTATCTCATTCGCGACTGGGAATTCGTATTTTTCACTGTTTTTATTTTTTATTTTTTAAAGGAGTAGAATAGAATAACATATGCAAGGAGATTGGGATAACGTTGTTCCAATCTTCTTGCATATGTTTTKGTTTTTTATATAATAATATAATGTTTAACTAGAAAATATACATATGTAATGGTAATATACGAGCCAGAAGAAGAAAAACTGTCATGTGCATGATCGAATATCGTTCATTTTTATCAATGCTAGACTTTACATCAGTGAATATAATTCGAGTTGATGATTTGATGAATCTGACCACGTGATATATCTAACTGTGTTTTATCGTCAGATTTTCATTTTTAGACGACAACGTTTTGCAGAATATTTAAAAAAACGATTGTAAAACATCAGTGAAACTAGGTCTAAGGGTGTGGAATAAAGATGGTTTGTCTAAATTATGCGATTTTTAAAAACTAATTCTAAACGATTAAGCACATACAACAGACATAGGTGTCATAAATTATCTATGAACGCCCGAGAACACTGGAGCGTAAGAGCTTCTAGAGAACAGGGTTCATTGGAAACGGTTAGTATGTAGCATAAGTTACACAGTCAGTTGCTAGAAATCTAAGAAATGGAATGTTATGTATGTATATGTATACAGCTATTTCAAAACGAAAAAAAATGGTGGCTTTGTTGCATACCAAGCCCGAAATGCACCATGGGAGATATGAATCCAATGAGCGAAAAGACAACAACTTTATGGAATTTTGTCAAATTTTGCCTGCACGTTTAAGTTCCCGCATTTTTTTTTCTGGCATTATTTACATACAGTCGATGTCATAACTGTAACACATTTAGACATTTACACATTTAGACTAAAAGAAATGTTACGTGTTTCCTCGATCGTTCTGTCATAAAACAAATGCTGAAATACCATTCTCCATCTTAAATCCTCACTAAATGGTCAGGGCATTCTGGATTTTCAATTCACGAGTTGGATTTTATATTTAAAGTTCAGGTTGACGCACACGAGGCAAAGAATACATAATGAAACACGTGATATTTCTTTTAATCTAAATGTGTAAATGTCTAAATGTGTAAAYGTGTAAATGTCTTTTTTCGGTGGACAACGTTAATGACATTGACTGTATGGTTATAATAGGATTCCACCCTGATTGGTGAGGTTTAGACTGATCAAGCATGCAAGTCATGAGGTACTCGACCTATCACAGTAAAGTGTTTACTGACAGGTGTTTTACACTTGTTGGGCTTGGCGCTGGAATCATGACTTGACTGGCTGAAGCAGGACAAGGTGCTTGAAGTTTTCCTTCTTCGTCTAATTTCGTCAAACCTAGAGTCACTTTGATTGACTTATTGTACTTAGGGAGGCGATAGGCATTTAGTACAGGGTTAATACACGAATTAATGAACTCAACTGGCTCGGACAGCCAGCCAAACCAATCATATATGGTACTGACTGGACACCTTGTCCAGTACTGACAGTAAAAGTCAATATGGACTGTAATATAATAAGGTAATAAGCAAATGATAGCTAATATTAATATCATCAATATGGTCTGGACTAGTATCTTTTCTTGTTTGCATCTCATCTCGTGAAAGTCATTGTTCAAGGCGTTATTTTTGAATGTCTTTTGTATCTTTACGAAGGTAAAGGTAAGAAGAACCAGTGGTGCTGTTATGTGCAAATGGGCATCAATCAAGTAGTACAACCATTTTGGTACTCCAACATGAGGGATTATGCTAAACCCAATACAGTACACCCAAGAGCATGTAATACAAACGATGACTCGATCTCTGGTCATCAGGAACTTGTAGCTCAAAGGTTTACATACAGCTATGAATCGATCGATTGATAACAAGACGATGGTGCATGTTGATACATTGACGGTGATGAACGACGCTGTTGCAGCAGCTTCGTAAAGACTTAAAATCTCTCTGTGCCGAAAGGCAGCAAGAAAATACGCAGAATAGAGTACGTCTACTATTAATCCAGTGAGAAAATCACTGATGGCGAGATTGAGAAGAAGAAAACTATTCGGTGTACCAAAACATTTAAGAGGGTTTTTATACAAAGCTGTACAGAGGATGCCATTAAACGAGACCGTAATGATGCTCAAGGATAAGCAGAATATACCCATGGTTAAACTCAGGTAGCGAGGAAGATTACTTTCTGGAGCGGCGGCGTTCAATTGATTTTCTTCTGTCGCCATTTTCGAATCACCAAACCCAAAGTTCTCGTAGAAGATTGTCGGCTTTATCACTGCTTCTTAGTTTTTTTTCAGGCTCACAGATGATAATCAGAGGAGATCAGTAATTTCCRATGTTTCTATCAAATTGTCGCCGGCCTTTTTATATATACTTTGAGCGGCTATTGGCCCTCTAATGAAGACGTCATCAACCTATATGTTTGAGCCCTGCAACACGTACGAATGAGTCAATGATGATCCATATGTCAATTAGTCATCCTCTGTGAAGTTAACACAGAGACATACGCGTGCCCCGTCCTGATGCTAAAACTCTCAGTGTTGATTCAGTCAGGAAAATATAAACAAAAAAATGTATTTTTGTGTTTAAAATTTTGATTTACAGCAGCACGATAATGAAAGTTCTGTACCATGAACGTGACGATTGTTTTTGTTGACCGTAGCTCCGGATTTTCAAAGTGAGCTTTCACCGTTAGTTAACATTTCCTTCAAAGAGCGGGACGAATTCTAATAGAAGCATTTGAGTATTCTTGTGTACACTTAAATCATGTTGACTGCTGGAGGACGGATGGCAAACATCCTTTCAGCTGCAAGAACAAAGCCTATGACGAGAGTTTTCGCACGATTTCAAAACGATTAATTACGATCAAGATCCGACAAATTCTCAGTATGTTTCTGATTAGATACTACGATATACGGTTGTCGTAATTATATGTACGCACTAAATTGCTCCATTAAGAAACTTAATTATGCTTTTGATAAGGCCTACTGACCCATTGCCAAAACCACTTTTCGTATTCTTTTTAGTACTTACTTATTAAAATGAGTTCAATTGGGCGTCAAAATAAATAAAAAATCTTCTAAAGTAAATACTGTGAATTTCTTCACGTTTCTGCACGTTTTAACATGCTGAAACTAATATTGATCGTCGCCAATGGATCGACCGATACTGCATTTATCTATAATGATTAATTATTCATTATTCCAATATCATTAGATTATTTTTGGTTGTCTGCTCAGTAGGAACTACGGTTTCCAGGTTCAAAAAAAAAAAAAAAAA